GACACTGGTGTTGGCATGGCGGGAAGGATCGAACTGCCGCAGGGTATGGGCGCGCCTCGGTCGTTGTCCTCCTCTTCCTCGGTCAAGCGTAATGGGTCAGACTACTCGGCGCATGTCATGTCGACATTATTGTCTTCTTTGGGCAGAGTGTTGTTCAGTCATAGCTGACGTCGTGGCGCGTCATGTCACCATTATTACCCTCATCAATTATTATTATTATTATTATTATATGGAGAAGAAATATAACTATGTGAGGTTTCCATACATCTCTACTAAATCTGCCTCTCCTGCCTCCAACTGTCGGAATATATTCTCTTTTGTTCTATCACTTCCTGACCTTCTTCAAGCTCGGTTTTCCGGGCGGCTTCAGCTTGCGCAACATCCAAATGTTCGGCGACGGTGTAAAGGACAGTTCGGTGCGGGACGATCACATTCTTCTGCACCAGCAAGTCGAGCTGGTCCTAGAATATCTCGTCGTGCTTCCCCGCCTTGTGGTGCGTGTTGATGGCTGTCGCGGACAGGCCTTCGTCTGCGCCATGGCATGTCAGCACATCCCTCACCATCTTGGATCAACCAGTTACAACATCGGACGTCAGTAAGAGTAGAGAAACGCTGATGGCCGTCTTCGATGCGTGCTTGGTCGTGGAAGCAGCGGCGGTCCATCCATCGGCCTTCTTCCATGCGTCCTTGTTCGTCGAAGGTCGGCATGATTTGGTAGCGTAGTGCGATGGTTGGTGAGTCATGTAGGAGTGTATATATATATATATATAGGAAGAAGATTACTTCCAGCATAAGAAAGAAACACCACTTAGGTCTGATTATTCTATAAAGAAACTTACGTTCATTTTTACTATTCATAACCCCTTATTATTTATAATCTCTTAAAAAATAATAAAAATATTATTTTATTATTTATGGTCTTTATATTATTGATTTTATCCTTTTTTTTTTTCCCCTACAATCTCTTATTTCATCTTACTCCCTCCGAGGAGAATAAGAAGAGGAAGAAGAATATGGCATTTATGTCTATATGTAAAGGGATAATATATTAAATATTAAAAAAAATTAAAATAGAATTATAAATAACAAAGAGAGGATTGTAAATAGTAATCTTCTTCTATAAATATTTTACTCCAATGGAAAAAAAAAACATTTTTAGTATTTATAAGGTTGTTAGAAAATTTTGATTTAGTGATAGCCAATTACAGATGCATAAATTTCATAAAATATCTTGAATTTTTCTAAATTTAATACATAGAAACTTTGGGAGCACTCAAAATATTTTATCACATTATTTAGTTATCAAAATATTAAACAAATTATTTACTTTAAATACAATTTATTGTTCTTCAACTAATCTAAAATTACTTGTTCCCCATCCAAAATTTTAATCTGAAACTGGAGATGAACTGAGAGTGCAGTAGATGCGTCTTCTTGTTATAGGGAGCACATGCAGGTAACAACGCAGGCGAATCCATGAAGGCAGGCACCTTCAGATTGCATCACTCTGGTCGAACGCCATCATTTCCACTCCCACTTCCATGGAGGCTCGACTTTTCGGGTGCAATACTACCTGATGAGTGTTGGGACTGCGGAGCTTGGACTTCTGCTACGGCCTTCTGAAGGTCAGGCTGCCGCCTCTTCCGCCGGAAGTAATAAGCCATGCCGGGATTCGCTCGCGCGCATGTGATCCACGACCTTCTCCATGCTCCGATTCGCTGCGTCCCTGTCGATCGGACGACCTGGATCGACGAGCGGCTTCAGCTTGCGCACGTCCAAATGCTCGGAGATGGTGTTCACGACGGTTTGGCGGGGGACGATCACATTCTTCGGCACGAGCTGGTCGAGCTGTTCCGCCGGAAGGTCGTAGGTCCCCGCCCTGAGATGCTTGTTGATGTCTTCTTTGGTCAGAACTTCGTTTCTGCCATGGCATGTCGGCACATCCCTCACCATCTTCAATCAACCAACCACATCCGGCGTGCGTTAGCAAGAATAAAGAAAGGATTTCTTGATCGAATTCCAAAGGAAGAAGTACCGATGGTGGAGTGGTGACGGTGGACCTGCGATCGGCCCACCGGAAGTCTCTGTTTCAGCGAGGGTGTCAAGCCCGGACTGGCCTGGAGTGACCAATTTCTTCTGGATGAGCGTGTCGAGGTGGTGCTGGTCTTGCTCTGGTGGAACGTCATTGCCTCCGGCTTTGACGTGCTCGAGATGGCTTCTGCAGTCAGTCCTTTTCCGGCTTGATTCATCGGCACATCTTGCACCATCTGTACGTAAGAACAGGGCATGAAGAAGAGACACAAGACATGATCTTAAATTCCAAACTGCACATGGGCGTGAACATTAATGTGCTTCTCGGATGCGTCCCTGTCGACCGGACTCGCATCTACTTGCTCGGTGAGGGCGTATAGGCCGGAGTCGCTGCAAGTAATGAGATTCTCCTGTACGAGGTGCTCGAGACGGTAAAGGAAGACGTTGTCGTGCCCCGGCGCAAGGCTGTCGTTGGCCGCCTTGATGTGCTCGTTGATGGCTTCTGCGGTCAGTCCTTCCTCGCCGCCGTGATTCATCAGCACTTCCCTCACTATCTGCTCATTGTAAATTCTTTTTCTTGTATATTCTATACCATCGAACAGAGTCACGTATGTACATATAAGAGTCGCAGCGAACCTCAATAGAATAAAGAGATTTCCTCGTATAGTTAGGAAAATCTTATCTTCTAGTTTAAAACGAATCGGATTTGTTACAAAAATGAACATGTTATACTTCGTAGAACACAGTCCCGAGATCAGGACGAGTTCATATGCGGTCAACCTATCTCACGTATCATAAGTTTATTCTCATCTGTGTTTTCTGCTGTAGGGTTTCATGAGGGTTGACTACAAATATTGATCATCTAAAGAGTGAAGGCAATCTCATTCATCGCAACAATCGTGGTTACGATGTCATATTAGCCTCGTGACTGAGATGAATGAAATATATATCCACTTGTTCTTTATCTCTCGGACAACATTGGACGACGATGTGAGGCAAGAATCATAATGATCAGACCAACCATGCATTGCATCCTGCAACTTTGGCTCCTTTGGCAAAGTAGTGGATGGGAAAAACCAAGCACTCTAAAGAACCCAACACTGGAATCCATTTGAGAGAGCTACCAGAAATGATGGTCCATCCTACTCCTGTTGGATTGGAAATAAAGATAGCATATCGAAAATGTCTATTCTCATTCTCATCTTTTCTTTTTCATGTGCCTCAGGAAATAGAAAGGCAAGACAAAGACTCCTTTACGGACTTCTTTTGTATTTTTGTCCTCTTACTTGTTGGTAATTTTTCAGTATTATTAAGGACTGGAGTATGACTTCGAATGGCACTGTATTTTCCTAGTCAGATCTTATGAACCTTTGTCGGATAAACTGGGAATGATGTTATCTGGTTGGCCTCTCCAATTGCTGAAAGAGATGGAAGACTATTTTTGATGAAAATGGTGGAAAGGAGTGGTAACTCAACGACGACAAGGAATGTTGATCACACAAACATAACATGTGATGATATTTGGCATGTAGTAGAATATCTGATGACATAATATTATATATGCTTTACATGTTGTGATTCTTTCCTAGATCTCCTCTAGAATGTCATTAGTCTCTTGCGCCATCGACGTCGCCACTAGGTATGTCTTCCGAAAAGATAACGCAGTCGGAAGAGAGAAAAACTAGAGAGGAGCGAAGTTGAAGATAGCACTTCACAAAGGAGAGGATAGTGTAATTAAAGATAGCGCTTCATAGAGGTCGAAGATGATGCCCGAATCTTCTTTAGAATGTCACCAATCTCGTGCGCCACCGATGTCGTTACTGGATATATCGTCTAGAAGGATAGAATTATCGAAAGGGAGTAAAGTCCTTTTACCGATACCACACAAGTTATCGTTCTCCTCCTATAAAATGAATAATTTGAAATGGATGAGAATAGTGAAATTATTTTTTTACCCATTTTATTCATCCCTTTTTTGCATGTGAGAATGGTGAAATAATTTCACTTTCCTAAGTATAAGAACCTTAATATAACTCTTAAAAATATAGAGATCATGATACTAAATATAGTTAACCACAAAAGGTAATTTATAACGTAACCTTAGAATCATTGATTATTGTTTGTTTAACAAAAAAAAAACTACTAGTTATTATTATTTGTAGTTACTAAACAGACCAAAATATATTTGAATTATGTAATTTAAATTACTAACATTGGTAATTGATAAAAAAAAAATGATTATAATTCAATTTGTGATGAAAAGTTCATATTCTTTTCTTATTACACCCAAATTTAATTAATGGATAATTAATTTAGTTCAAGTTGTTGGATAGGCTTACTCTGTTGTCATCTACTAATCACAGTGGATAAGGCACCCATTAAAATTTGGTCATTAACTATCCCCTAAAGCTAACTTTCGTATCTAATTATCAGTGGTCACTCTAATTCGACCTAATTTTTAGATTTCTTTTAGTCAAAAAGAAGAAAAAATAATATAAAATTTTCAGTCACCGGACACACATCCCACACTGCACAGCAATTGAGACAACTTATTATAATATGATCATGAAGTGCCACTGCCTCTCTCACAGTGCAAGCACAATGGCTCGTAAGACCCAACCACAAGAAGCTAGTGGTTCGGATGCTCTCGTGTCGGCTTCCGCCCGCCACCTCCTTGCCTTTTACCCGCACCACCACTGCCGTGTGACGACATGGCCACAAGCAACAACAAGCACACATCATCACCAACACTTGCCGAGTCTCACGACCTGCATCTAAACAAATCGACAACCACCACCCCACCGAGCTCACGTACTCTCCCTCCTCTGTTTCGGGCTGGGGTTGTCGTGGATGCATGCCCACCTTCTCAGTGCTTGTGGTGAGAGATGAAAGGGGAAGCACATGAGCTCATGCCATAGATAGTTCTTGGCAGGTCAGAGGGAGATCACGGGCTGCTACAGAAGCAGCAGCAGAACGGGCAAGAAGGAAACAGTAACGTCGGCGACATACAGTAGCATTTGGAATATATTAGGGACATTCTTAGCTCCGTAAACAATCACGAGCAGGAGAATAGAACAAGAAGAGAACAAAAGCAAATCCAAATCCCAGACACAAATCGAACCACCAACTTCCCTTTTTCTCTCTATCTCTTCTTCTTCTTCTTCTTTTTGGCTAAGGGATCGACGAGGACCAACGCCACTACATAGATGTGCTTAAAAGAAGCACCCTAACTGCGTCGAGGGATCACCTGTGAATCCTCTCTCTCTGCCTCTGCTCCTTTTATTTCCCAGTGGAACAACCCGTGATCTCTCTTAAATTCTTCCCCTCTCCTCCTCCTACTTCTCTCCCCTACAGACACATTCCCAACGTCGTCACTTCCCTTCCCTGATCGCAATGTTCAGGTTCCAGTCCGTGGCATTCATCATAATCCTTCTGGTGCTGGTAGACTCCGGCCAGGTGCACTGCCACACCAAGGGACTCCGGCCGGGGCGCCGAGCGCCGCCGCCGGTGAACTCCACGAGCGCCGGGATGGTGGAACAGCAGTTCATGCGGTGGGTCAGGTTGGTCGGCGGCCTCCGGCACAGCGTCTTCGGCAGGGCGCTGAACAAGGCGTTCCCCTCATACACGCTCACCGTCGATAAGAACCCGTCGGTCGGGGACTTCACGACGATCCAGGAGGCCGTCGACTCGCTTCCTCTGATCAATCTGGTGAGGGTTGTGATCAAGGTCAATGCCGGCACGTACACGTGAGTGACGTTCTTGAGCTCACCGTTTTCCTCGTGTAAGCTTTCGTGGATGGAATGAACACCCACCGGTTGTTTGTTCGTGAATCAGGGAGAAGGTGAACGTGTCACCGATGAGAGCCTTCATCACCATCCAAGGAGCAGGAGCAGACAAGACGGTGGTTCAGTGGGGTGACACAGCTGAAACACTCGGGCCAAAGAAGCAGCCCATTGGGACCTTCAATTCAGCCACCTTCGCCGTCAATGCTCCTTATTTCATCGCAAGGAACATCACTTTCAAGGTATGTGTTTCGTGTTCCATCAGAATGGAGTTTGTGTGGCGTCCTGATCCTGTTCTCTTGCTTGCTTTGTTGGGGTTTCAGAACACCACCCCTGTTCCACCGCCAGGAGCGATGGGAAAGCAGGCGGTGTCGCTGAGGATATCAGGAGACACAGCAGCCTTTGTGGGATGCAAGTTTCTGGGGGCGCAGGACACGCTCTACGATCACGTTGGCAGGCATTACTACAAGGACTGCTACATCGAGGGCTCCGTGGATTTCATCTTTGGAAATGCTCTTTCCCTCTACGAGGTCAGCCATCCGATCTAATCCCCTCCCTTTACCTCCATGGAGTCGTCCTCCGATGTTCTAGCCTGCGACTCCAAGCAGGGTCGAATCACTTATTGTCTTGTTTTATGGGTGCTGTGGCATTGGAGTTGGGTGCCAACTAGATGCCACATCACCCCTGGTTGTGCGATCGTATCCCTCCTCCACGGAGTGGCAACCGACACCATCCTCTGTAGCAGCTGCTGCCGCTGCCGGCAACTTTAACTCGTGCTGAGAGTCTCTGCTCCAAACAGGGACAGCACCCGCCATTAATTAGTCCTAACAAGGCGGGCGCATGGCTTACAAACCTGGCTTTATCTCGGTGCTTGGCACTGCTTTGTCCTCTTCACAGTGAAACGCTTGCTTGCGCCCGTAAACATCAAGTTGGAATCGGGCTTTTCACCGCGGCACGCGGATGTGTTAGCTTTGCGTGCAACCTTGTGGTTGTCACGTTGCACAAAGAGGGCAGCGACCGGTCGTTGGGACGAACAGGTGGCGGGTGGCGCCTAGGAACATGCACCGCTGCGCCTCAGGATTCGGTTCACATGTCGAAGAGGAAGAGGTTCTGATACTGTGTTTTTGTTTTCTGTTGTTGTCTTGCTGTTGCTGGGGGGCCGCGAACCAGGGGTGTCATGTGCACGCCATAGCGCAGAACTACGGAGCCTTGACGGCGCAGAACCGGATGAGCCTGTTGGAGGACACGGGGTTCTCGTTCGTGAACTGCAAGGTGACGGGGTCGGGGGCGCTGTACCTTGGCCGGGCGTGGGGAACCTTCTCCAGAGTCATCTTCGCCTACACTTACATGGACGACATCATACTCCCCCGAGGGTGGTACAACTGGGGAGACCCCAACAGAGAAATGTAAGCCCTTGCTTCCTCGTTTGTTTAACTTTCGTTCTACTTTTTCAATTGATTTCTTTGTTACTTAGATTCAGTAATTCGTGAGAGAGAGAGAGAGAGAGAGAGATGGGGACGAAGGACTGATCAAAGCTGCGTTTGCCCACAGGGTGTTCGACGTAAAGCATTTACATATCTTAGGTCAAAATTGATGCCTTGTACTTGTTGAACCTCATGTACGTCCACCACCCGTAGTGATACATCGCTTTTGTGGATCTGTCCACTGACAACCGGGTGGAATCGTCCGATGAAGTACAGCCTACACCACACGGGTTTTGCTCAGAACTCTCAGTCCTGCAGTCTGAGTCGGAATCAAACACAGAAACATCGAAATTATTCATCCAAATGATAGAACATATCGATTGTGATGCAAGGGGCCACCTGTTTGATGAAATGCACCACAGTTAAAACCGGTCCCCTCTATGGGCCGGCCTTTGAACATGCGTCCTCAAGCCTTTATCTGTAGCTTTTCCGAGGTGTGCAATGCTTTATTAGCCACCTAGAAATCCATGTCCTTCTACTTTTTCTCCAGTGCTCTCAGACGTGTATCGCACTTGCTTCCCTGAATCCCTGTTTGAGACTCGCAGATTGGATTAGTCTTGTATTACAAACGTGAAATGATCGGTGTTTCGTGTTGATTTCATGGCAGGACCGTGTTCTATGGACAATACAAGTGCACGGGCCCAGGGGCGAGCTACGCAGGAAGGGTGTCATGGTCGAGAGAGCTCACGGACGAGGAAGCCAAGCCGTTCATCTCCATGAGCTTCATTGATGGGTCTGAGTGGATCAAACTGTGATCATCTTCCTTCATCATCACTTGTTGTCTCTCCCCTCGTCATAGGTGTTCACAAAACAAAAAATCCACCGTGATTCTTCAAATAAAATTAATTTTCTTTTCTTCCGGTTTTATTGTATTCTTACGTCACTGCGTGGCATTATTGACGTCTTTTCTTCTGATTAAGATTATCAAAAACATTTAATAATTAAACGTCAATTCTGAAATTAAAATATTTTCAAAATTTAAATAAACAAGTGAAATAAAATTAACACAGCCAGATAATAAAATAAGAATAAAGAATAAATTTATGATTGACGTCTCCCCCGTTGCTAAAATTAGGGTTCCCGATCCCGACCTCGGAGTTCACATCCTCCGATTTCTCCTCTTTCATGTTCCGGTCGTTGTATCGAAGGCACGAGGCAATGGCTGCTCCCTCTCTGCGCATGCGATCGAAGGCATGGAAGCGCTTGTAGGAGATCGATAAAGAGGTTGGACAAAAACCCATCTTATTTTATTAGTTGTCTATGCGTTTTAGATGAATCCTACGAAACATGAAGTTATGATTGATGTTTGAATAGAGACACAATGGGGATGAGAAGTAACAATTGTAGGTTATATTAAATGGCTGGAAGGATGCCAGAAATTTGCATCAACAGAGAACAAATATTTGTAAGAGAGCAAGAATCCAAGTTTGATGGTCACATCGATACTGCCAAATTGAAGAAACTTGTTTGATTGAGTCATATATGAGGACATCGTCCAATTAATTTGGGGGTTTCTTTGGTTATGTTGGCTTCATTATCACTGAGAGTGTAGCAGTAGGGTGTGAGTTCATTCAAAGCTAAGTCTCTATTGGTGCCCTCCTCCTTTTCAATTTTCGTATGGACTCAGAGACTTTGACAAAACAAGCAGAGAGATTGAGTTTCTTTTCTTTTTTTTTGTCTATCTTATCTTCTTGACTTGTTAGCTGGATAATCATGATGCATCAGATAAGACGACAGAGGTTACTCTTGGTGCCAGATTTAAATGATGGGAAGTTATATATCCAAAATAACACTAGTACATGTTGGTATTAGTTGTGCAAAGGGATCTGCAAGCAAAGGTGGGGAATGAGATTGTGGTTAGTTCTCAAGTTGTATATCTTGGTGCAGAACTTGCAGGTTGAAACTTGACAAATGATGTAGAGAAATGCACACAAGAGATGCATAAAAGCCAACTTAATGCTTTAAATTAAAATGACAAAACCTGGTTCTCTGATTATATCATTGTTCCTCCATCCACTGAAGAAACCTTGCAGCTGCAAATTCAACTTCCATTTCCTTTTTATGAGACTAAAAAATTGTAGAACAAAATTTGGTTTAGACTCGCATGCCGAAGATAGGATTAGTGGTTGTTTCTGGCAGCAATTCTATCTTTTTTTTGGTTGGATTTTGAGCTTTGCTGTGGTAAATGTAAGTTCTCTTCTTAAGTTTACAATTTTTGTGCACTTGTTATCATATTATTATTGAATAGTTCTTCAAAGATCAGCTGACACATCCTTTGTACCTTAATCGTATCAGTCTCATTTATTTTCTAGTACATTTTATGTTCATTATTCACATCATTCATGTGATCGAATGTCGTTGTCATCCTTGAAAAGGACATGACTGCATCACAGCATAAAAGTGCTTCCGACCACCTTTGTAAAATGTTCGGCAGTAAATTCATGTTCTACATTTACTCCTAATCACATGACATCAGTATATGAAGTATGCCATTAATCTAACTCATAGTAGAGTAAATAATAAACAAGTTCTTTACTTGCAGGAGCAAAGCTGAATGCACTGCTCATCCTCAAAATCTAGCATTGTTGGGAGCCCTTGTGCAGCAAGTCACCCCATTATGCGATAGATGAAGTTGGTATGATGATTTAGGTGATCAAGTTTTTCATGTTTTATTGATTTTATTCATCTATAAGTCCAGCATATTCTGAATGTGGTATTTTACTTCCAAGTTTATATATCACAATATTTACATTACTTCCCCTTTCATGACCTTTTTTTTTTTATCCTCTGCTGCTAATAAAATTATGTTTTAGTGCCTAAAAGTATGTTATCTCTCATGCATAAAGCCTAGTATCTCTCTGAATTAACTGAATATGATTAAATTGTAGTATTGAAATTTATTTTCTCATTGTAAACTTGTAAAAGATTTATGAAATACGTCATGGTAGATTCTGCCTGGCACTTGTTCCTACCCAGCGATTGCATACCATGCCTGCCTGCACACTTCTTCTTGGGCTTGGAATTTGTGCTCAATCTGAAAATGGTTTAAGGAAAAAGATGGCTAGTTGATCAGTCCTTAGAGAGAGATTTAGCAGAGAACTTGTTCTTAGTTTATTCAGACAAATCCATTTTCTAGTTGCTCCTATGTTACTTGTGCTAACATGATAACCCTACCCTACCAGGTACTTCAATGTCCCTGTCCTTGCAAGACAATATTCTGGTTCCTGTCCCAGTTTTTTGTTCCATGGCCACACATTTGGCATGTGTTCATTTACACTTGGCTGGCATTTATAATCAAGGATTGATGAATAAAGTTCCTTGTAAAACCAAGGATGCTAAATGAAACTTGAAAGAAAAGAACTTGATGAGGACATCAAGGCAGAAAGCTACTGGGCATGTTTTGACAGCTTACTCTTTCGACGAGATTGAATGGCATGTTAATATAGATTCACACAAAAGAAGATTGGAGTTGAAGATACAGCAGATTTAAATCAGATTAGGAGAATCTACACATCCCTTCCTCCACTTTGTCACAATTTACTGGTAAGGAAGAGTTTAGGGAACACAGATTCTGTCTGGTCTTGGATCCTCATTTACATTTCTAAGAGAAGCTCTCATGAAGCAGCTGCTCTGTTTCTACCACTGATTCACCACATGCAATCTATGTAGTGATCCCTGGCTGCTTTCCTCAATGACTTAGCAGACCTATCAAGCTTCCCAACCGTTCCATTGTAGAGGTTATACGCATTATGTGCTCGTAAGGGAGACCTTGTCCTCGACTCGGTCTCGCTTGCGAGGACCTTCTTCTTCCTCGGGCTGGCGGCCTTCTCCGGCCTCTGCTTTGGCGTGCTTTGTGGCCTCACCTTCGCCGCAAAGGACGACGTGTTTGCCATGTAGTTTGGACAGCTTGAGGGGCTCGGGGTTTGCCGTGGAACCATATCGGCGGTCGTGCTCCTCGCCGGCGTTTCTGGCCTGAGGCGAGGAGTGTTTTGTGCCGTCTTGGAGTTGGGGGATTTGTCAGGGTTTCGGCAGCTGGAAATGGAGAGTCGAGATGGAACCTTGAATGGGAGTGGAGAGGAAATTGGTACCATAGATTCGTCGAAGTTAGAACTTGTTCTCCGGAACGACTTGGACCTGAGTTGGAAAGTGTCCATCTCCAGGATCTTTGGACTTGCATCCAAGTCATTGCTCTGTTCTAATCCGATGTGCCTGCACCTATCGCCTCTGTTATCGAACCTTTCCTGCGAAGAAGAATGAGCAAAGATGATGGCGCTTGTTGATGGAAGATGAAGCATAGATGTGTTTCGAGGATTCCGTCTTACAAAGGATGTCCGATGGCAGAATTCTGCATCGAATCTTCGACTTTGGTGGGGAAGAACACGAGCTTCTCGAGGCCTAACAACAGCTTGAGCTCTTACGAGAGCTTGTAGTCTGCGGAGGGTTATGGCTGCTTGCTTTCTCACGAGGCAGCCTCTTACCAGAGCCTGCAGCTTCACCAAGCCTTTGAGTGCTCGAAGAGCTTTCTTTGCCTGTCCAATGACAGCCTCAAGAAATGACGATGAAAGGAGGTTTCTGTTGGCAAAGACCACTAGATTTAGCCTTACCAAGTGGCATCTGAAGGCAGTCTGGATCTTGACAGCAGCCCACCACTGGTAGCTGGTACAGGGCGTTGCTCCTTCTCTGCCCAGGCCCTTCAGCCTCACCATCGCCGCCTGAGCTGCCGTCGCGGCCACATTGGCAGCTGCTACAGTGGCTACCGCCACCGCCATGGCGTGCTTGCTCTCCTCCTCGGTGTCGTCGTAGAACGACCTCAACCACGCCGCCTCCGTCGCTGACACGGGACTGCTACACATGCTTTCCGCTTGCCGTGGTCTGGCAAAGCTCCACCGCATCGTATCTTTCATTTCGTAGCCATTGGTGCTGGCATTGTCCTTGTGGACCTTCGGATCCTTCTTCCTCCCAAGAAGGCTCCTCAGCCACCTAGTAGCCCTGCCCATTACCGAGGAGCTCCTGCAGAGCAGAGAGAGAGAGAGAGAGAGAGAGCGAGAGAGAGAGAGAATCTAAAGTTACAAGTTCGTCTCGTGTTCTCCAGTGATCTCCACTCAGATTTATCAGCACAAATGGCGGTAACAAAGAGATTTTGCCCAGGGAAAGAGCAGAGGGGGCAAAAAGAGGGAAGGGGAAAACATTTTTACTACGTCCTCTCTCTGCCATCATCAATGGGTTGTTCCTTTCTCGCGGTAGCCTTCATCTTCGACTGCTACACAACACTACTACATACAATGGACGTGTGAAACGCACCTCGAAGAACGAAAAAGCGTGGATCTTTCACCTCTGCTTAGCAGGCAATGCTTCGTACGATGACAAAGATAAGCGACAGCAAGTAATAAACTAAGCCCAATGCTTACGACTATGTCGGAGCTTTAGATGTGGCTACCACATCAAGTCTCTGTCATTTCTGCAGCTGTCGGTCTCGTCCGAAAAGATACATACACATCACTCGACTTCTTGCAGCAAGCAAACAATCACGGTAAGAACAGGGAAGCAAACGAGCGATCCGCTACCGTAGGTCTTATACAGACCTCGGTCATGAAGCAAAAGAATGAGCCGTACTTATCTCCCCCATCACTTAATGCTTCCTTCCTTTGGCTCTCTTCTTAAGAGCCATAGAGGAAAGGAAAAGAAAGATCCTGGGTTTGGTGAACCGTCTCTTACCCTTTTTGGCGTCGCAGTCCTTGTCGTCAGGCTTCTCGCTCGCTCGCTCGCAGAGCTCTCTCTCTCAGATCATAAGGTTTGGTCAGAGAGGTCGCGGGCTTGGCAGCAGTAAAGGCCCCAAGGAAGGAGTGGTTCACTAGTAACTACAGGGCCAGCGGCGATGTGATACCGTGGTGCAGAGTAAACGTACTTGGACGGGGAGAAGAGAAGGGAAACGTTGGATATTACTACAATTAGGTGGTTTAGAGTCTCGATGCACTGGTGATGATGATGTAACGCTCACGAAGGCGATTGCAAATCCCAAAATGCGGAGTCGAAGTTTAGCCTCTTGCGGAAGAGACTGCTACGCAGACACTTCCGTCTCCTGCGAGGTGTCGAGATCGAAGACACTTAGAGCTTAAATCACGGACGGGGCACGTGCAAAGACGTGGGTTTTCACAGGGTAGGTTCCATTGGCTGCTGCCATGCGTCTGATACGCATTCACTCCACTATGTCATCTACAGAACAAGGGATCCAAAGGAAGCTTAATCTATTGCTCGGACTCAGCTGGACTGGTCCAACCACAACAAGCTTGGGATGCGTGAAGCCGGTGTTTCTCTCATGCCTTGGTGTCATATGATATTACGAACTGAAGACGAGCTTATCATTGGCGCTGTTCGGGTAATCGTGCCAGAGACGTGAGTAGCTTACCTTTAATGGTGGGCGGTGATGCTAATACGTTGGTCAACGAGGATGGGATCAAAGAAGTCGTCTTCTTCTTTCTCTTCCAAGCTACAAGGAGTTGACGTAAGTAGAGGCACATGACCGCATCAATGACTTCAGAAACAGAGGCCTGGATCGTGGAGGGCAGCAGAGTTCGAACTGGTACTCTGCTGGAAGAAGAACTTCCCGGGGCAAGAAGCATCAATTCACTGTGTTTCCACAGTGGTATATGTCTGTAGGAGAGTTGCGAGTCACTTGTATGGTTGAGAGATGGCGACGAGGGATCACATCATTGGAACTGTGGAATCGAACAGTTCGATGTACAGTGAAGCATAGAATCTTATCAGGGGAATTCCCCCCAATGATTTGGATCACATCACAACATTGTCGTGACATGGATCACTCCCAACATAATGGTCAGTCTTTAAGGCAATTCAGAAGACTATAAATGGTGTAAAAGATGATCGATTTGAATTAGTTTTCACCTTCAGCTATGGCTATAGTATGACCATTATATTCGAGGAGAATTCTGTCGGATAACTTTTAGCACTCTTGTTATTCTGCAAAATTTAATTCGGAGCATGTTTTGTCGTCAGAAGAGCACATCGATTCGATTTAGTCGGATTAACTTGCATAGGATTGCCGATCAAATTTGACTTATACAATGTATATTAAAGATTTATAGAATCATTTTACGACACCAAGGCATGTATGTAAGAGATTTAGCTATAAAACATTACAAATGCGAGCATAGTGCATATATATATTACCATAAAAAGAAAGGAGTTTTAGCATTATATGATGTAACGTTATCATATATAAGAGCTCAGTCGCAAGCTTTAGATTACCTCTAATTCACATGTGGCGCCAACAACACCTATATCCATCCATGCAACACTTAGAATCGTACACGTGTCTCGATTCTATCCACGTAAATTATGTCCAAGTGCAATGGCATTCTGGTAAAGTTTTTATAGTCTCCGATAAATAAAATCGTATATTTATTTTTATATTCAAGTAAATATTGCTAATAAGCTAAGGCATTTTATAAGAAAAACTCTTATTAATGGTATTTTATTATGGTACCCCATATTTTACTTTTACTAGGGAACGTCTCTTTTTTTTTTTCTAAAATACCTAATTTGTTTGATTCAATAAATCGTGCCGATCAATTTTATTGAATCGGGTGACCCAATTCAAACTTGACCAATCCAGGGGTTAGTTTGGTTCGATCGGGGTTACAATCGGGTTGATCTAGCAAAACGGATCAGGTCGGGTTTGAGATCATGTGGGTTTGAATAAAAAAACAACGAGTGTAACCCTAGTGTAGGCGGCATTGATGATCAACACTCCTTTCCAATAGTGGCAAACTTCTTTGCTTCTCTTCGTGATGAGCAATGACGGTAGTGGACTTATTTACTCCTCTCTAGCAACTAGTGACGATGACATCCTCTAGTCTTTGGCATCGGCTTCTCTACAACAACTTCATCGGTGGCATCACTGAGCAATGGCAACCTCATCTCTTCTCCGATTAGGAACGACAACATCACATCACCAAACACAAAAGTAGGCTTATAGTGAAGAAAAAAAAATATTTATATTGCCTTATATATTACAACAATCAAAAGGCTTTTTATTTATATGGAAAATATTCAATCTGAATTTTGTATGAACTGTTCATTCGTGTTACTAATTGAAAGATGCAATAGGTGATGAGAATATAGCAACACTGTAGGTTCCAAAAGTAATGTAAATTTTGGTAATTATTAATCTTGATTTTTTTACATTATCTACTATATTTTTAATTACCGTACTTCTCACTAGAACCTTAGCTTCTTCCAAGCATTTTAATGCTAATGTAAATGTTTACTTGTGTGATTTGTCATCGAAAGCTAAATGTGTTTCCACCCTTCAATGAGTAGATGACGGTGGATATCAATTTTGAATTATCATATTTTCTTGTAGTTTTTCTAGTGTTGATTAGAATGGTGTTGGCATATGTTCTTCCAAGCATGTTTATCTCACGCTAACTATAATACCTGTGAGATTTGAAATTGGAAATCTTTCTTGTTCTTTTAAATGTGACAAAAATCTCTTCGGATAACTTTTTATATACATTCATGCAGTTATATTTGATGTCTGAAAATTAGACATTGCTATGAGTTGTTGATGAAATCTTCCTTACGGAAGATTTATATTTAAAGTTATATTTAAAAATATGTTCTGATTATTATCTAATAGTTTATGTTATAATTTATTCTCCCTTAAACTTTGGATGTAATGCTTCATATTTATAATGTTAATTTGTAAGTAAACTGAGTGACATCATTATGTAAATTCCTTTGACTTGGGGATAAGAAAGCAAATCAAGTGGCCACTACATGTAATATATATCATAACCTAATGATTTATATTAATCATTATTAAGTTATATGCAACTATTTTTTTTTTCAAATATAAAATTTAAGATGTCTAAATCACACATTCCTCCATCTAATATTGCATCACCATCTTCTGTGTCATCCCCCTTATTCACCATCCCATTTTTCTTCAACTATCATGTCACCCCTCGATATATAGTTAATGGTTATTACAAAGATCATTTTATATGCTTTCTTTGTGAACCAAGTGGTAGGAGTCAGAGGGCAAATTATATTCTTTTCCCTTAAGGGGGTGTTATCTTAGTATTCTTAAAATGATATTTTTTTGTCATATAATAGATCATTCCTAACATTCCTATGTATCGATTGTCGTATACAGTATTTTATAATGTGTAATGTGTAAGCTGGTGTATTTTATAATGATGTTGACATTATCGATTTTTGTTGATTTTATATTATATATTTTTATTTTTATTTTTATTTTATTTTGTCAAACAAACTATACTTCAACTCTCGCTTTACAATCTTATCTTAATTATTTGTATTCGTTGATAAATTACAACTAGACAATGACCGTCTATTCTTACATCGTTGTTAAAATTCTTATTGTTGGTGCTCATATAAATAAGTTGGAAGTTTGAGGTAGCACCAAGATGATCGGATATTTGAGAGATTATGTACCTTTTTTTATTTGTAAGTCAAATTTTATTTTTCTATGTAAATATGAAAAGTCCAACATAAATTAATTTTGATTTTTAATTTTACTAATTATTGGAAGCTATGGCTATGCAAGCATGTTGATATATTTATGTCATTCCATTATCTTGATCATCCTCAAATATGAAGAGGAGGTCAGGTGAGCATCAACAATAAGAATATTATCGACTTAAGGGTATAGATGATAATCGAGAATAAAATAATTATTTATTTTAAATAGGAGTTCATTTAGAGATATAAACATATTCTCTTTAACTATTGTGTATATATATTATGTAGGTATATCAAGTGCTCACCCCGACATATTCTCTTTAACCGCCAAGTCTCATCTATCGGTTGGGAATATCGAGGTATAATAATTTAATATTTTAAATTTATATTTTTAAAAAAATGTTATTTATTTTATATATTAAACTATTTACATGACACACATATTGGTGACCAAGGATCATTCATTTGGATCCATTGATTATACATTGCCCCTTGTAGTGAGTTCTGTAATAAAATGTTACTTTGTTCGTAATTGATAGGCTGTATAAGCTGAAAATATATTGAACCTAAAAATATAATACATATTTGTTTAGAAAGAGAAAGTTACCTAAAAAATTTTGGGACATTTATCGTTAAACGATGAAAAGTTTGATAATGGCCTATGTTGTTATTACAAATTGTTTGGCAATGTGATGTCATCTTGATAATCTGAATAATGTTGTGGATTGCTTCTATATGTTTAGTTTGTAATTATTGAACAAGTATTCATATTGAGATTTATTATATGTGGTTGTGATAGTTTCACTTATATATAAATTTAGGATGCTTTATTTTCGAAATAGAATACTTTGGGTTGAATCTATGATCAAGTATAATTTGAGTGTAACCCGAGCATAATAATACGAGTGTAACTCAAGTAAGTTTTCTCAAACCTATTCAAACTTCTTTAGAACTATCCAAATAGAGGATTTGTATTTTGAATTTATGATCGAGTGTAATTAAGTGTAGCTCAAAAATTTTTACCAAACCTATCCAAACTGTTTTATAAATATTTTAGCATGATTATAGTATATTTAGTATCATTTTTTATTATTTTATGATGATTAATTATCTAAATAAGGGATTTATATTTTGAATCTATGATCAAGTATAACACAACTTAACAAAATTTCACTAAACCTATCCAAACTTCTTTATAAATATCCTAGCATGATTATAGTATATTTAGTATCACTTTTTTTATATCTTATTATTTCAGGATGATTAATTGTCCAAATAAGGGATTTATGTTTTGAATTTCAGAAATCGAGTGTAACTCAAAATATTTTTACCAACCAATTGAAGCTCCTTTATAAATATCATAATATGATTCTAGTATATTTAGTTTCACTTTTTCTAACTTCTTTTAATTTTTAGATGATTTCTGTCCAAATATGAGATTTATGTTTTGAATATGTGATTGAGCATAACCTGAGTGTAACACAAGTATAACTCAAAAAAGTTTCATCAAACTTATCTATAACTTTCGTAACATGATTATAATATATTTAATATTATTTTTTTTTATTTTAGATATTTTTAAAAATTAAATTATTCAAAAATATATTATAGTTTAGGTATTATTATTATCTAGTCTAGGTCAGTACCATCGCCTATGGTCAGTAGAACATTGGATATAGATGGTACCATCACCATTAGGTAGTGTTATGTTGTGATCGAGTATAACACTAACCGATGAGAAGGCAATGACAACCTTCTACCCCGTCAATGATGTTGACGATGATGTCCTACCCCAGCGGTGTTGATCGCGACCATTGAGGCTCATTGAGAAGTCAAGGCCAACCTCCTACCCTGGCAACGATGATCGCGACCACTAACGCTCACCGAGATGGCGACAATAACCTCCTGCCTTGTCGACGAAAGCCACTCTGATCACCGAGGCCCAACGAGAATGCGACGACTATGACTCCTTCAATTGCTAGGTTTGGTGACGACGTTCTTGATGCCGACGGTGATCGTGACTAACGACAAAAAAGGTCAACTACCTCTTTGACGTTCCTATTACAAATGGGGTTTGGGGATGTAATTCAGGGAAAAAACAAGGGTCAATCTAGACCCAAATTGAACAAATCAAATATTAATTTATTTTGAACTGTTCTAGATTGGTTCGTATCAAACAAACTAGTTCAGCCAAAAAGATTCGGAGTCAAACAGGATCAACAAATATTATCTTTCATTATTTGATTTTATGAAGGGTACTTCGATTATACCGTGAAAAAAAGTACCTTCGAAAAAAATTAAATATGAGGGTGTCACATGATAAAACCCCATTATCATCGAAAGCTTTTCTAAGTAAATTGCACTTTGTCATTAGTAAATCCAAGCTTTATTTATTATATTCGTAAAAAAGGAGGAAAAACAAAAATAAATTTCAAGCTTCATCATAAACTATTACAGTCTCACTTCAGAGACACAGCATAGCTTCCACCGTCATCCAGTTCTAGGATCCATATCATCCAACTACGACACCTGACATGGACATCTAGCGAGAGAAAGCTCGAGTTTATGCGTTCTCATGTTAAACTTAGAGCAGTGATTGATATATATGTCGATCCACAAGTCTGACAACCTTGCATTCGTAATGAAGAAGGACTTGATAAAGAATGCTACGGCGCCGCTCGAGAGCCAAATAACCAGACAGCCGATGCAGTCGAAACTGTGTGCGCTACCGCAATAGTTGTTGGGAGACCACCGATTAGCATTTGATGAAGCATTCGATCGTATCCATGGCACGATGAAACAATAAAAATATGCTACAGAATTGTCAAACGAAGACTCGGTAGTACACAGATCGAACACGAAAACCTCGATCAACCGAGGTGCGTTCCGGCGAGGATCGAGTTCGCGGCCGCGATCAGATGGAAGGATATAAACATGGCAGAGGTGGGCACGCTCAACACGAGGACGGCCATCATCCCGATGGCCACGCCCGGCCGTGTGCCCATCATCAGCGTCTGCAACAAGCACAGGATCTCGCACACGTCGACGTGGTAGCTGGTGTAGTACCTCTTCTCCCAGTCCATCCATCCCGACGGCGCCTCGTAATTGCTCTCCGCCATCTTCATCTCGTGGATCCTCTTCCTCAGCACGATCATGCTCCGGTCCACCAGCCCGCCGCCGCTGTAATGCCAACAGCAGGCGCGTCTCCTCGAGGCGGCGGATCGGATCGAACTCGGCCAGTTTGGGAGCCGCGGTCCGGCCTGCCGGCTCGGAAGTCGGGCCGGGAACGACGAAGGGTGGTGGGATGGGGGGGAGACGGAGGAAGCATACATTGCGCTCGTTGTGAAGAAGGCGTCGGGAGATCGGGTGGATTTATAACAGAGGCGGCGGCATGTGAAACGGAATCTTGGCCGGGTAATTAACGGTCGACAGCCAGTGGGCAACGGGCACGTGTCGGCTGCGTATCATCTTCGAGCGGGACAACGGCGAGTCGTATGGGGAACCCAACGAGGACGTTAACGCGTGGCGTTGTCGCCACACCGATCGGCGATTTGAATTGGGTTTCTGTGTTCTTCCTTCCAAAGGCCAGAGGAAGTCATGAGGTAGCTTCCGTTAATGGATCACGACAACGAGATCATCATCGGTTGTCACGCCGCATCGGATGGCTTCAGTCGTGGAACGCTACGTCGATTCGAGTTCCTTGGCGTGCGCTGCCGTGAAGGACGGAGCTCACTCGCTGCCCTGAGTGGAAACCGCTAATCATGTCCGCGACCGTGAGCCCAGAAACTGCGTTCCGGCGAGGACTGCGAGGAGAAAGAAACGCATCGTGAAGGCACGTCGGTGACACTCTGTCGCAGGCTGAGCCAAGTGCTGGCCAGCTGAACTCTTCGATGGCGAATGTAAGGATTTATCTCAATTCGAGTTGCCTTCAAGATATAATTTCTTTTACGTAGTAGGCTCAATTCGAGTTTCGAAGATTACATGCGAACATAAAAGTATATCGTTTCAACATTGATAAATATATTTCACAATTAATTATTTTTAATATTTTGATCTCAATTTTGTGCCACAGTACTACACTAATCAAATTTGGCAATTGATGAGGATAATACTGGCGACAAAACTCGGGCTGACGTCAGCTGCCCCAGATGATGCCTCACGTCTCGATCGACCCGACAGCACCTAGTCAAACGGACCAGAACGCCGGCCGAGGCGCATTAACGTCCTGCTCAAGCCCAATCCTTCACGCCACGCCAACACTGTTGTCAGGCGTGGCCGGGAGTACGATCCTGCTCTCTGCAAAATAGGCACAATAGACACAACAAGTCACCCTATAAAAATCCCACTCCCGAGGGGAGCAAGGGGGGAGGAGGAAACACACAAAAAAAAGACCTCTTCACTTCATCTGACTTGATCGTCGGAGGGGTCGGGCCGAGCTTCGACCCGACCTGTGTGCAGGTATGAAGACGGAGCTACCCACCACCAACGTCGAGGAGAGGGACCCTTCCATACGGGACGTCCCTACGAGCCCCGTCGTGATCCGATCCGCACGGCCGCCCACATCAGCAACCCCGAGAGACCTTGAGCAAGATCCCCACCTTTCAGATCCAAAACAAGCCGTGTCAGCCCCGAGGCCATGGCGTAAAGTTGTTTACACAAACAACAATCATACATTTTTTTGAAATAAAATAAAATAAAGTCAAAATATAATTTGACCAATACATAGAATCAAAAGTTTGGATGCTTCTTAGCGAATTAAGACAAATTTATCATCAAGCCTTGTGATAAATGGCAAGTCAAATACTGTGCCTGTTCAAGAAAATGAAAGCTTGTAGAAAAATAACCGTCTAGAAGTCCAGGATTGACCACCCGCAGTCTGTCCACAACTTGTAATACAGTTTCTAGAATTGAAAATGAACCGATATAACCCATAATTGTTAAGAAATATTACCTTTATAGTATCCGATGAAGAAGAAATAAGTACTGATAGGGAATATTTCAATAATAAGCGTGGTTTGACAACTGACCGTTATCAAGGAACTGATATGGAAAGACTTAACATGTCTTTGAAAATATCCAACCTGGCAGACGATGCATGACCAACTCCATGTTGTCCAGGATTATATGGGTCGACGTCACATAACGATGGTCCGAACAGGTCGACCCACATTGTTGGGAATATACAGGTCGACCATCCGTACGAGCACATCAAATAAGGTATCGACAGCCATCAATGGCCCATGTACCCTCAGGTTGACTCCGCAAGTATAAATACCGACTCCCTAACTCAAGAAAGGAGATCAAACTCCTTACACAAAAAAAACTACTAACTAACTTAAGTATTAGAGGGGTTGAGTTAAGAATTCCCCTCTGGATATCGATCTATCATGTAGGAATACGGTATAGATAAAACGATTCAAGTTCTATCTCGGCCACAAAAATGCTTTTGAGACATGGACGACGTTACACAACCTGATCTCGTTCCATCTGCCTCCTCTCCCAATAATCTACATGGACGACGTTACGTTTTTGAGATAAGATCAAGCTGTATTGTTCCCTAGGCTAGGATATAAAGGTACATAATAACAGGTACTGGTAAGAAAAAAAAAGGAAATATAATTGTGAGACACCTATGATTGTTAAATTAAAACATAAGTTATTTTTCTTTATCAGTTAAAGTAATATACAACTAATATGTTGTAACTTAGCATATCCAATGAGAGGCATGTAAAGAGGTTAGAAAATAAGCAGGGTAGTCCCAAGACTGATGATATCTCAGAGAAAATTGTATTTACGATGAGTACATTAAACTGCGCCCCGTAGAGATGCAGTTCAGAAGGTAATGCATCAGAGCTGCATGACTTTATTGGCTGCTATAATGGGTTCTTCTACCTACGTTCCTCAGTGCATGACTCTTTGCTGCCATCTACCATCTATTGTGACGAAACGCGTTCTCAAAAACTATACAATTGCATCACAACCAGATGAATCGATCACTTGGTTGCGAAAATATGGTCGGAGACCGGAGAAGATTCTCTTACAGCCAATGGAAATATTTATATATCGAAGAGAACATTCTTATCTTTATCCTTGATGTCTCTGGTCTGAGGCCTAGACGAGAAGCGGAGGTGGAGTAGGAGGAAAAGGAGAAGAGGACGGGGAGGTGACGATGAAGTGGTAGGATGAGATAATTGAGAAATCGGGATAGTGAAGTAATTTGGAAAAAAAAAGATAATCTAAAAATTAAGAAGAATAAATCAAAATTTTAAATATTATATAGTCAAAGATACTATGTAGTTCAACCCAAATAATCCAAGTCAACGATGACCAACGACTGTCTTTTGTTTTCTTTTATATAAAAGATATTTATAGTATAAATGATGGGACGTCATCTGATAAAATTGTGTTGTTGAGAATTTTTTTGGTAATTGACCCAATAAACTGTAAATGGAACAAAGTGGCGGTTTTCACTTAATATATTATTTTTCCTCTATTATATCTTCTACACAGATTTCTTCCGTTCCCAGATGCAGCGAAGTCTCGTGCTGGTCTCCGAGATCTTTCCTTTCACCTCTTGGCGATCCGAATTAGGGGTAGGGAGCTGCACATTCCTCCGAAATCCCGACTTGTTGTTGTAATTTCGATCGTTCTTGGCGTCCAAAGGAAGGATCTTGGAAGACGGAGCCCGCAACCCTAGTTGGGACGTCGTCGGGGGCTTGTCGGATCGGCTTGGAATCCTAGATCGGGGGGGAGGGACATGGGGAAGGTGGCGGTGACGACGGCGGTGGTGGGCGCGGCGGCGGCGTGCGCGGTGGCGGCGCTCGTCGTGCGGCACCGGATGCGGAGCTCGGGCCGGTGCGCGCGTGCCGCGGCCCTGCTCAAGGAGCTCGAAGAGCGGTGCGCCACGCCCCTGGGGAAGCTGCGGCAGGTGGCCGACGCGATGATGGTGGAGATGCACGCCGGGCTCGCCTCCGAGGGCGGGAGCAAGCTCAAGATGCTCATCAGCTACGTCGACAAGCTCCCCACCGGGTACCGCCCATCTTTCTCCTCATCAGATGAAAAGGAGCATAATTTCTTCAACCGATTCTTGAAATCCAGCTGCATTTCTCATCGGATTCTTGAAATTGTGGCTTGTTATTTGGTCGTAAATGCCTTTTTTTCTCCGTGACATCAATAATTTAAGTAAATTCCTGCTTGCATATCTAGATCGTACTTGGATTCAGAGGGTGTGGGGGTTAAGGTGGGGGCCTTGCCCAGCTTGTGTTGTGATTGTGAATATGCCTATTGTGTCTTCTCTGGCAATAAGAGTTTTGGTTTTGATTGCAAGGATCATTTTTTCTTGATATCTCTTTCTCCCTTCTTCACGGCTCCTGTCCTAACAGGCAATTCGCAGTTTTTCTTGATATCTTTGTTACTTCTTAATTTCTTTCCTTTTTCATGGCCACTCAACTACATATCTGATGAAAATATTTTAATTCTTGGATTTCTGAGCAACCTGAAAAGTATTTCCTTGCGCTCATTAGGTCCTACGTTTTTGTTCTTTTGTACTGTAGATGCGTTTCTGCTTCCTCCATATATGATACCTCTCTTTTGTGCCCGGATTATGAATGGTTGACTTTGGGACGATACACATCTCGCGTAACCACACCACCTATATGTGTTT